ATAGAAAATAGAAAAAAATAAAAGTGTAGATGACAGGAAGAAAGAAAATTATAAATAAGTATGAGAAGAAGTAGCCATATGGCTGAAAAGAAATTGGTCATGTGACTGTAAGAAGGAAAATTTCTTGAGAGAAAAAAAGAAAAAGATTGCCGAAAAAAAGAGCAAAACACTTTTAAGAAAGAAGAAAAAAAAAACCCAAAAAACGAAACGCGTATACAAGGTTTTAATTACGGAATAAATCGCTTTAACGTTATTCAACGCATTTTCCAAACATTTTTATTTGATGTTCACTGACGAAGTGACGCTTAAATTAATTATAACAGCAAATAGTTTATATTTTTCTTTAGAGAAATGTTATTTTAAATATCCTTTTGTACGCATGCAAAACTAATTTTCCAGAACAATTCTAAATCAGAGTTACAACGCTAAAAAGGAAATTTACGCCTAATCTCGAAAGTATTTGAAAGCAGATTTCCAAATAAAACATTAAGATTCTATTAAAAAAGCTGCCGAAATTACCAGTAGATGCTTTGATGTGATTATCTGATACAAGGATTAGGAAAATTTAGCATCAACATAAAAGTAGCCATTTTATTTTGGTACTTTCAAATGTTAATTATTTTGTATTGTTAGATGATTGCTGATGACACAGAAATAAATATTTCCGAAAAGGAAGGAAGGAAGGGAAAACACTAAGAGTAGTGTGAGGGCGGAAGAATAGAAAGCCAAGATATAAAAATTGGAGTGGTACGTGTGAGTCAAGAAAATATAGAAAACTTATATATATATATATATATATATATATATATATATATATATATATATATATATATATATATATATATATATATGTATGTATGTATAAAAAGGATGAAAGCTAAAGTGAACAAAAACAACATTAAATTAATTAGAGAGAGAAAAATTAGTCGAGATTGAAAATGCAGAATTATATTTACAAATAAAGAATGAAAAAGAAATAAGAAAAAAGAGAGAAAAAGAAAGAAGAAAGGAAGAAAAAGAGAGAAAAGAAAGAAAGAAAGACAGAATGAATATAATGAAACAAACAACGAAAGAAAGACAAAAAGAAAGAAGAACGAAAATAAGAACGAACGAACGCACGAACGAAAGACTGAAGGAAAGAAAGAAAGAAAGAAAGAAATAATGAAAGAAAGAAAGAAAGAAAGAAAGAAAGAAAGAAAGAAAGAAAGAAAGAAAGAATGAAACAGAAAAAAAAACAACTAGACAAACAAACAAACAAAAACGGTATTTTGAAAGATGAAAAAAGAAATATTTGCGATTGGCCTTAAAAGAGAGGCTGGTCTGAAAGAAAGAAAGAAAGAAAGAAAGATAGATAGATAGATAGATAGATAGATAGATAGATAGATAGATAGGAAGAAACAAACAAACAAACAAAAAGAGAGAAAAATAAAGAAAGAAAACAAAGAACAACGAAAAAAAGGAAGAAAGAAACAAAGAAAAAGACAGAGTAATAAAAGAAATAAAGAAAAAAGAAAAACGGAAGAGACAAAAAAACTAACAAAAAGAGATAAAAACAAATAAAGAAAGAGAAAAAACAACGAAAGTAAGACAAAAAGAAAGAAGCAACGAAAGTAGGAAAACAGAAAGAATGACACGACAAAAGTAGGTATACAGTAAGTATTATACTATTACTAGTTGACAAGAAAGAATATATTATAAGTAATATTAATATGTATTATATTGTAAGTAATTTTATTTTAACCCAAGTACAATTTTTTGGTGTGTAACAATTGAGGGGGAAGTGTGCAAAATAGAGATGATCCACCCGCCTAATTTCAAGTTATATTTGTTTTTGGAAATAAAAAAGAATTTTATTTAAATAAAAGTTATGAGAGACAGACATGAGTTAGGGGGCAACGTTAGTCGTTTTGAACAATTTTTTTTTTTTATGAATTTAACTGCATTTTATTTCCTTTTCATGATCAATTAGGGAGAAATAAATAAATATAATTTACGTACGTATATGAGAAACCGTGAAAAGTTCTTATATATTTCTTCTTTTTTTTTCTTTTCAAAAACAAATATGACTTGAATTTGGACGGGTTGGTCATCGTTTGTATGAAAGAGTCGGTACGTGTGTTGCGTGCTTCTTAATAGTGACCAGGGATACAAGTGATAGTTAGAATTTAGTTCTTACTGGGGACTGTCCATTTTTCAGCGCGGTAGCTTTTTGCGTGTGGACGTGAATGAGGGTCTTGACTTTGGTGCGTCTCATGTCAAAATTTTGCACATTGCCCCTCAATTTTACATACACATACACTATATATATATATATATATATATATATATATATATATATATTGCTGTCATAAATGGTCTGGGGCACCTTCTGTTTACCTCGGAGTTCTTGACAAGATCCAGATACGGATATGTAATATAATTGGCCCTGGTCTGGCATCTCGTCTACAGTCACTCTCTCACAGACGCGCCGTCGCCTCTCTCTGTCTTTTCTACAAATACTTTCATGGTAATTACTCCGATGAGCTGCTTTCACTGGTTCCCAGACTCCATGAATTCAAGCGCCCTACGAGGATGGCATCCCGCTCTCACCCTTACACTGTGGAAACTTTTAAATGTAGCCGTCTCTTCTACTCCAATAGCTTCATACCTCGCACCTCTCGCCTGTGGAACACCCTTCCCAATTACTGTTTCCCTGAAAGCTATAATCTCCAACTATTCAAATGTAATGTCAATCGACACCTCCAGTTACCTTGATCTACCCACTATCCTTCTCCTCATCCTTTCTTCTATCACTCCTATCTGCTCTCGCTCCAAATCTTCTGCAACCCCCTGCATCCTAGTGCCTTCACGCTTTGCTCAGGGCGTAATGCTTAATATATATATATATATATATATATATATATATATATATATATATATATATATATATATATTAGTGATCAGTATGGATATTTCCAAAAGGATATAAATCCAGGGAGAACTCTATGTCAGAAACAGTTCAATAATTATTATTGTAAAAGGCTAAAACACTAAAGTTTCATGTGGTTGGATTTAAAGGTCTGATGAATTGGGGCCACTTTTACAAGCCTAATGAAATAAATATAACCTCTTGAAAACTTAGTGTTTGTGCCATTTATAATAATGATATATATGTTTGTGCCTTTTTTGTGCCAGGCATTGTGCCATTTTGGGCTACACTTGTTACTCTGAAATAAAAGCAGTAATCAGCAATGAACTTCTACCAATTTAGAGATCAAAAATATATTTTATTTCATGCAAATGTGGTGATATTAACTAACGATATAAGTAATTTTTAATAGGAGTTTCTTTTCACCTACCCAATATAGTATATATGTATGCAATTTTATATACATTATATATTATATATGCGCGGTACTTATTGGAAAGCGATCAATATCAGTGATAGAACTAACATATTTAGTTGGGTTTCAACTATATATATATATATATATATATATATATATATATATATATATGTGTGTGTGTGTGTGTGTGTGTGTGTGTATCTGTGTGTGCGTGTGTGCGCGTGTGTCTTATTATATTTAAGGATTACTAGTATTAAAATAATGGTTTTCGGCTTGAAAAGATGGAATTTAAACTTTTATTATTGCATTGTTCCAAAATGTAAACACATCAGCAGATAGCTATCAATGTCAACATCTGAGCACAATAGTTATTAATTAAAAGATAGTTTTTAATTAAAAAATAGTAATTAATGTATAATATTATCAATAACAGCATGTAATATCTTTTTTTTTATATAAGTTAAAAGAATATAATAATAAATACGTAAAAAGTGCGTATATTGTCGAAAATTCCTTTTCCCACAATATCAAATCATGATACTGAATAAATCTTTTTAAACATTAAATCATATTTAAACAAATCTCCCTGAAAAAAAAAAAAAAGATATATCAATATTTTAACGGAATGTAAGAAAGAAAATAAACAAATAAATAAAATCCAAAAATGAAAGCAAAAGAAAGACAAATAACATCTAATTAACAAATTTAAGCGTATGCGGAAAGTTTCGTGGAATTTAACTACAAGAAATTCTATTTAAACAATTACCGACTTGAATCTTTTTTATTACTGTATGTTGCTCTATGTTATATACGCCTCTCTCTCTCTCTCTCTCTCTCTATATATATATATATATATATATATATATATATATATATACAGTGTAACCCGGATATAAGAAATCCGGATATAAGAAACCCGGATATAAGAGAAACCCGGATATAAGAGAGATTTTCTCTGGTCCAAAATTAGAGCCTGTTAATGTATATAAATTAGACCAAACCCGGATATAAGAGAAACCTGGATATAAGAGACTTCTTTTCCGGTCCCGATAACTCTCTTATATCCGGGTTACACTATATATATATATATATATATATATATATATATATATATATATATATATATATATATATGATCACTGGTTGGGAAATATGAACAGATTGGAATGAATGGTGATAGATAGATAGATAGATAGATAGATAGATAGATATCAAGTGAGAGAATATGATCACTGTTTTCTCTGAAAGTACGAAGAGAAGAAGCTGAAGAAAACCAAGGAGTAAAACGATTGAAACGAGTACAGCGAGGAACAATTCTTGGACATGCTACTTATCAGTTAATGTTCAAGGTAGAGATTTGCTATATGGGCTTATCGTAAGGCCATACAAAGAGAGGCAACACCACGTGCATATTATTAGAATATGTAGGATAGATAAGAGTTGACCCGAGACTTTAAGATCTTATGGTTAACATTGTATTTGCTTCGGGAAAAAAGCTTTTGTGAATCTGCAACAGTTTTGTGGAAGAAGTTGTCCGAGTGGAACTTCCTCCTCACTAATGGAATATGAAAAGAATGAGGATGAATCGAACCATTGTACGTGTCGCGTTGATGCCTAGCAGTGAAGGCCTGGAATGAAAAGAACCAAAGTATGTAATTCATGCAGGCATCAATTATGAAACTATCTATCTATCTATCTATCTATCTATCTATCTATCTATCTATCTATCTATCTATATATATATATATATATATATGTGTGTGTGTGTGTGTGTGTGTGTGTGTGTGTGTGTGTGTGTGTGTGTGTGTGTGTATAAATATAAAAGTGAACACAGAAGTCAACACTTAGAGGCGACACTCTTTCTCATGCTAGACAATCGTTAGGCCTGCCGCCTCTAAGTGTTGACTTCTATGTTCACTTTTATATTTTCCCAAGCTCTATCTCTGATATTGAGCACTTTATCCCATAAATATAGCACACCTTAAGACTATATTTCTTCATATATATATATATATATATATATATATATATATATATATATATATATATATATATATATTTATTTTGTATTTAGGCAGCAATCCTTCTTTCATGCACATTTCATTGAATATGGCAGACAAGGTGATTTGATTTAGTTTTTTATACAATTTCTCATGTGATATTATATATTTTTTTCTTTTCGGATGATAAATTATATAAAAACTGTTCAATTGTTCTTTCTTTCCGATTTTTTTTCCGTTTTTTTTATATAATTTATCACCCGAAAAGATAAACGATCACATGAGAAATTGTATAAAAAAACTAAATCAAAGCACCTTGTCTGTCGTATTCAATGAAATATAGTTTTATATTATGGGAAATAAGTATGATCAAATGGAAAAAAAAAAAGGTTTCGTGTGACGCGTTTCGTCCTTTAGGACTTCACCGAAATAAAAGTACGTTTACGTTGATGCAACTACGCCTACGTATGAAGGAAAAGGGTAATTTTTTTTATAATTTAATATATGTTTTCCGTAGATAATCTAGCCGATTTCATTCATATTCTCTTTCTTTTGTATTAATTTCCCTCACTTTGTTAATAAATATCCCACATTGAGAAAATAGAAACTCTGCCAAGAATGGCGAAACTTTGTAAGAACTTGAACGCAAGTTTACTGCGGATGATCAAGTGATCAAAGCCATTTTTGTCTCAGTAAATTGCTTTCTCTTTTAATTAGAGTAGCATTTTCAAATCAGAAATGTGACCAGTCTCGTTATGGTGAGTAGTGAATGCGTTTAATATATTGTTTGTTTTCTAAATAAAATCGTCTAAATTATATATCCAAAACATTCAATAAATACATCCTAAGCGTCCCCGCTTTCCTCATGCGCATGTGCAGTCGCATCAGCGTAAAGATCAATTTAGTCCGCTGAAGTTCTACCTGATCAGACTTATAGATCCACATTTTTTGTGTAGATATCGTTTAAACAGTATAATTGGCGTTTACCAGATGTTGTTTTCGATAGACTTTAATAAAGGAAATGGACCCTTAAACAGGATGTGACCTCACGACTCCCTTATGCAGTGGAAATCGATGTATAGCCAAGCGCGCATTTACCACGGCGTAACAAGGCTCAGATCTTTCGAAGCCCATATCTGATGAGGTTATTTTCATATCCTAAACGTAAACAAAAGAATTCATGAATGTTAATTTATGATCCGAGATTGTTGATTATTGCTATATACGTTATATTTAACAGATACAGGTGTTTGTATAGAGATATGATTATTTTAAACAGTATAATGTTTCTCTCTTTCTTACTGTCTCTTTCTTCTTCTCTATCTCTCTATGAATATCTATCTATATATATATATATATGTATCCAAATGAAATGAGAATGAAATGAGAATGAAATGAATATAAATTCAAACATTAATTTAAGAGGGCTGTCACATACGAACAAACAAGTAATCACTAGAAAGATGAATATTTGTTTCGATGCCAAAAATAAGCATCTCACCTGGTGGCGAACAAAGAGGGATAGCCATCAGCGCGAATTTGTAAACATTCACTATTACTGCTGATAATACAAGACTCTCAAAATTGGATTGAGTTCTCTGGGTCACTGGCGGGTTTATGAAAAATAAATACATAAAAATTCACCGTTCTCTCTGTCGAGCGTCGATAGACTAGGGGTTAGAATCTTCGACTGATGCCAAATCGGTCGGGTTTTGTTTGGGCTTGAAGCGATCAGATGGCTAGCCCCACTGAGGACCTGCGATACAGCAAAACAGTCTGTCTATTGATGACGTTATATACATATACAAACTTATATAGAAACTTACAGAAACCTTGTATACACATACATACATTCAGATACATATACACACATGTACACATATACAAACACACACACACATATATATACACATACACACTGATTAATTATGTTTATGGGTATATCATGTTGAAAGGCCAGTTCTTGTGCCATCATCGAAGTTAAGCAACGTCTAGTCCGATTAATACCTAGATGGGTAACCGCTCTGAAATACCAGATGTTCTACGCTTGGGTGTGCGGCTGGTGTAATGGATAACGGATGGCAATTGTAAATTTGAGGGCAAAATTTCAGTTCGAGTCGAATTCGTTTTCCGCGCAAATACACTAGGAATGTTATAAATCCACATATTCTTCCCCAACTATGGGTTAAATAGTAAGACTTAGTATCGGTAAATTATTATTATATCCAGAAATGCTTACAATCTAAAAATAGTTTCTGGATTCAAATAAGCTGCAAATGGTTGATACGTCGTAAAAAAAAATCACTCAAAAACTGATTAATTAAAAAAGAAATGAAAATGAAATGAAAAGATGAAATGAATTTGTCTTCCCAATTTGAGGAAACTACATAAGAAATTAGCTGTAAATGAAGATAAAAACAAATTTAAATAAATGAACGCTCGGAATAAATACAAAAGTAAGAATGCAACATTAGTAATCATTAAATGCTAAAAAGAAGAAAGAAAAAAAGATCATTTTCCAATCGGCAAAAATTAGTTTAAAAGAAACGCTAAAGAAAACGAAACAAGGAAAGTGAGTTAAATAAAGATAGCGTTAAATAGAACGGCGAATGGTTCATCATCCCATAAATATCGTTCTTAAATAGAATCAGGCGAACCGATAAAAGCCAGGCTTCGATTTAAACAACCAACGTCCGTTTTTCCCGCCATTTTAAAACGATAACATACTCTCAAGTTTCTTCTTCTTCTTCTTCTTCTTCTTCTTCTTCTTCTTCTTCTTCTTCTTCTCACCTCTCTGCCCTGCACCTCAAAGTCTCCCTCATCCGGAACAGTGCAGAAAAGGCACAAAATGCAATTAACAGTGTCTTTCCTTATTTAGACTGAATTAATTTTTAATAGGTTCGGAAGTATCGTAATCAAATATTTATTAGCGATGATGAGAATTATCGCCGAAGATATCGGCGTTTGCAGATTCGGCGTAAGGTAGGCTGTATTTTATGGCACCGACTGGGCTTAATTACCTGAAAAATGGTCAATCCGTATAGAAAGTTGAAAAAAAAAGAAGACATAATATTTAAAAGAAGAGAAATAAGAAAGAAGAAAGAGGAAACAAGAAAGAATATAGAAAAACAAAATCTGGGTCACGTTATGTTACAGAAAAGAGAATCTACTTGAGAATTTTTAAATAAAATATAATGCGAAAATAAAATGGTAAATTATCAATTGAGGTGGGGAAAACACTGGTTTCGAAGGCAACATTTTTAAACAAGCATGAATTTTCTCTGTACAAAGAAACTATATAGATTTAACCGTAGTAATAGACTGGGAACTAGGTCTCCTTATTTTGCTGTTTGAAAGAATTACATGTAACCGTAAGTTTTATTTTAATAGTCTATTCTTTTGCACTTCTCACCTTCTTCCAGTTTCTTGCATTCCTGTCAACCATGATTTTCAAAAACTGAACTACAATATTAATCGTTAACTTCTGAATCCTGTTATTTTATTCTGCTAAAACTTTATGTAACACGCGTCAGAGTGTTGAAATCCTAACAGTATTATTGAAGCTATTACCAAAATTTTTATCGAGATTTACAAAATCGGCGTTTCTTTCAATTTCGCAAACAAATTTGATTAAGCTGATTTGTTTGGGAAAATACTTTCGCAAAAACTCTAATTCGCGGTTTAATAATTTTATTTTATTTTATTTTATAGGACTTCACGCAAAACAATATTTTTAAGAGAAAAAATTTTTTCCTTTTTAACTGCGAATAATAAATGTTGAGGATTTCTTACTCTTGAGCATGCAACATACATCTGAGCATGCATAAATATTTCTTTCGGAAGCCAAATTCCAACGTTTTGAATCGTTTGGCCTGGTGATTGTTTTATAGTTCTCGCAAACGCGGAGTGTAATGGAAACTTGATTCTTGAATATAAAAAGATATGACAAAAAATATCGCATTTTTTAAAATAGATATTATTTTCATCATTAAATTGTTTTTAAAATAGTAGAATTATTCTGTATGTTAAATAATAACTTTTATGTTTTTGCAAAAAATTAGTGAGAATTTATTGTACTAAAATCAACTATAATTTGTACCCCTTATTCTTTTTCCTCAACAATGGTTTCTCATGTTCTTTTATTCGCACGAAATCCTTGCATCTTACTGGCATTAATTAGTGGTAATGATTATATATATATATATATATGTATATGTGTGTGTGTGTGTGTGTGTGTGTGTGTGTGTGTGTGTGTGTGTGTGTGTGTTGTATGAATGTGCGCGTATGAGAGATCGGAATGTCTCTATTTTAAAATGTTCAAATATGTATGTCTTTAGAACAATAATTTTGTAGACTGATGTGAAATATTCAATGTATATTCTTCTATGTTATTAATAAGGTTCATTCCGAGATTAAGTGCACTGACAAAGAAGGATATTATGCTAAAAATAATTATCGGTATATAAAAAAAGCAGTGGAGAACCTGGAGAGGGGAATTAACAGGAGATATCTGATAACTGACATCCATTAAAATCATGGCACGTGGAACTAGAACAGTCTAGTAGTTTGCGGCCATTTTCTACTGACCAGAGTGAGAGCCAATAGCTGACTGATACGAATGTTAAGTAGCATGCTAGCATGCAAAAAATCAATAGCTGTATTCGTCACAAGTGGGAAAAATTTAAATCTGCATGGCACTTTACTCCAATTATCCATTCGCTTGCTTAAACTCATAGTTGATTCTGATTCCGCAGAACTGGGTTGGTGTGAAAAAGTATTTGTTGTTAACATTCTTTTATCATTCGGTTTTTCCAGTTACGAGTCCTTTTGTAAAGCTGATCGTTTTGTGTTCATTTTGTTTAGTTCGTAACAGATTTAATGTTTAGTATAGTGTGGGATAGGCAAGAAGTAAGGCATGTAGCAACATCAGCTCGGCAAAGGGCACTCCTTTAAATGCAAGGAAGGGCAAAAATATTTTAAGTCAAGTGATAGCGATTGCTGTATGAGTCATACGATTTTTGAATCAAGCACGGCCAACGCCGGGCCATGCTGCTAATATATATATATATATATATATATATATATATATATATATATATATATATATATATTTGTGAAAATATATAGAAAATAGGAAAGAACTGGTTAGGTAGATCCAAACTCTATTTTAACTCAATTTAATTCAAATAATTATATTGAAGTTTTCGGCTCTTGTTCTGAAACATGAGACCTCGTATGTCGCGAGTTGGAATCATATTTTTAAATAAATAAATAATTATATATATATATATATATATATATATATATATATATATATATATATATATATAATACTTCAAAAAGGGAGTTTATAGTATGCTCGATCTTTTTCAGGGATGACACTTTGAACTTTGGTCGACCCCATAGACACTACTCTGATGCGAGACAAAAGTTCTATGTAGGTGTGTAATTATATCATTTTTTATGAGTAGTATGTTAATGCCGAGTAATGTACGTAAACGGTCAATATATCCCCCGCCCAACAAATTAATCAAAAAGACGAACTTTTTGTCAAAACCGAGACTGGCTGCTTTCGACTAGGCCGCACACAGCAGAAAAATACGACTTCTAATTCCACGTACAGTCTTGCGTCGTATATCGATGTTGTATACACTGTGGAGTGATGGAATTTAGTTCCCCTTGTGTATAGACTAACAAAGCTACCCTCACTCGAACTATTTGACCCCTTTCATTTCTGTTTCTTCTCTCTTAACCTGGCTGTGACAGAAAGACGATAAACAACTTGGTTCAATTCAATCTTCTTATTTCTTACCATTGACCTTTACTGAGTTAGAAATTTGGAAAGAGGCTATTTTTCCGTTCCCGGTAAAGTAGACAAACATGCTTTTGAGCTTATTTTTCCCGTCTCGGTAAAATAAACCCCTATGGAATTCTACCGGTAAATATTTTTGCTATCATAAAAGCAGGTAATGTTAAGAATAACATCGCCCAGATTTAACACAGAAGTTTATTTATTTTCACCATCAATTTTTAAGACAATTTAAAATCGTTTTCACCATCAATTGTTAAGAGCCAAGTTAAAATAATTTATTTATCATCAATTAATAAAAGAATATTTTAAGCACTTCAGGCATAACAGTCTCCGCAAATCTCAAATTTGGCTTTGAGCATCCTTCTCTTGCCAATCCACTTCAGATGCACCCACTAAAGACAACAGTCACAGACCACAGAATTCATATTGTTCAAGTCCGGCCTACACGAACAACACAAGCACAGCGTTGACGTTAAGTTCTAAATATTTACCAGCAAAATAGCCCTGGTGTCTATTTTATTTTTTCGTTTTTTTGTTATATATATATATATGTTGCCTATCAATTCGTCTTTGATGGTTCAATTTTGTTACATTCTGGCCCTTATATTAGTTATAAAGATCCACCAATATTTTAGTATCTTCACTGACCATCTCTTCTTTCTCAGCAGGGCATTCTTTCCACTTACTACTACTGTGGTCACGTGATAGAAGGTTGAGCTGTTGCTGCTGTTACAGGGTGAACATGGCCGCTCTGATAGCAGTGTGCACCAAGGAGGAATAAAGAAAGGCGTGCCCAAATAATTCTTAAGTTTAGTCATTAGGTTAGATTTTTAGGAAGGGTGTTGTGTCGAGAAATTTTCAGCATACCATCGTAGGGATTATTAGATTTACAGAAATAAGTTCTTTCATTTTTTTTTCTTATCATTCTTCTGATTCCCTCTTCCTTCGCCTCTTCCATGTTGTTGTTCTCCTCCTCTTCTTCTTCTTCTTCTCAAACTTTCACATTCATCACTTTACCTGTCTGCAACGTCCTGCGTTCGACTTCTTTATCTTCTTCGCCCCCATTTTACTTACTCCTCCCCTTCTTCTTCACATTTTCCTCTTCTTCTTCACCTCCTCCTTCTTAATCTTTCTTATTTATCTTTCTCCTTCTCTTGTGTATTCCTCCTTCTTACGCAGTCTATATTCCTTCTTCTTCTTCTTCTTCTTCTTCTTCTTCTTCTTCTTCTTCTTCTTCTTCTTCTCAAACTGTCACATTCATCACTTTACTTGGCTACACTTCCCCCTCACCTCTTCTTTCTCCTTCTTAGCATTTTCACATTCATTTCTTTACTACGCCACAAGGTTTCTCTATTTCTTCTTCCTCCTTTTCCTCTTCCATCTCCTCCTCCTCCTCCTTCACGCGTCCTTCTCCTCTTCCTCCTCCTTTTTTCGCTCTTTCACCATCACCCCATCACTGCACCGTTCCGCATTCTTCCTCCTCCATTGCCATTTGTTCTTTTCAGGTTACTCCTCCATGGATTTTCCCGATCATTTCCTGCCTTCTCTTCGCTGTCTTCCTTTCTCTTTACCCTCTTCTCCTTTCACCCCACAAGCTTCCCATGTCGACCCCTGAGTACAAGCCATTCTAACTATCAATCAGCTGCATTGTATTATGGTCGGGGTGCCGTACGGGGATTTGGTGAAAAGCCTTTGGAATATTCTTGGATACATCTTTTGGGCAGGCATACACCCTCCTCCTTGAACCCCTAGCTGATTACTATATTGTTGTCGGACAGCTCTGTCTGTTCGTCTCTTTAAACCAGGCCTACATATATGAAGAGGTCGATAGATTTATGTAAATATGTATTGATATACGAAAGTGTGTGCATTAAAACGCGTGAATTTGAACACATGCGTCTATATAAATATGTGTGTATTAGTATTTACGAATAGCACAATGCGCGATTGTTTTTTTTTTGCCTATGTTTGCGCATGCGTACTTTAACTTTTTACACATACAGAAAGTAAGAAGGACATAGAGTGATCCTTTAAAGAAATCAAAAACTCGTGTCGCATGTTTTCAATTTCGTTATGTCCATTCGAGGCTCCAATATTATAGTTTTTTTTTTTTTCCTTCTTTTATCAGACAAAGCTTATTATTACAATCTGCATTCTATGCATTTGTGTGTGTGTGTGTGTGTGTGATTTATTGGATTCGATAATTTTGCATGGGCACTAGCTGTAGAGCGCTTTTTAGCAATCTCATCTAATACAGTGCTTGTATACTGAGTTGGATTCTCACTGTGTGTCATAATTATACTACGGAGGGCCCCACAAAAAAGGAAATTTTAGATTTAATATATAATGAAGAAACTTAACTAACATAAAAAAATAAGTATACATTTTACTATATGAATGAACTAAAACAAATTCACTAACATATAAATTATATAACCATTTATTAGTCCAAGATGCCGCAGTTATCAAATTTTCAACGACAGCTGATTGTTCTCTTTAAGAAAGAACATCCAACTTCAGACTGAAATAATGCCAAGAAATTTTGCCGGAGTTCTTTAGCTTGAACACCATATCTAATACTTTTGTTTTTGTTCTAAGTTACTAAATTTCTATCTTTTTGTTTTTGTTTCAAATAACTGTAACAAAAATTTTAACAATTAAAGTACCAAATTTCCTGATTTTTGTGGGGCGTTCTATACATTAACCATTTTCAACGCAGAGGGGTTAATTTTTATTATATATTTTATTTTTGTTTTCTCTTCTGTATTATGCGAAAGTAGTAAGAGTTTTGTTCATTCTGGAGATTTTGTTTTGGTGATCAAATCACAGATTTCCCTATAAAAACGGAACGTATATTTCAAACAAGGGTATCCACAAAAATCACTTTTGAAGTAATATATTATAGTGTAAGACTAAAAATTATCTCAGAATATCTACCACCCAAGAGCGTTGCACATACAGTACCCAGGCCTAAGTCAGTATCGTCCTACAGGTTGTTGCACTTTGGTGTGTTTTACTGAATACGACTAAAAGAATATTTACGATTTTTTTTATTCTGTTTTTCTCGCTCTTTTACATTTTTTCTTTTATCAGAACTCAATGTGTGTAGGTAAGTAGTCCTTTGTTGTCACAAAGTGCTTTCGGCTAATACAGAGGGCACCCGTCAAAAAAAAAAATAAAACAAAATAAATTTTAGGTTTACTGTATGATGAAAAAAACTATATACTTTATTATATAAATGAATTCAAAACATTAACTAACATATAAATTACATAACCATTTATTGTTCAAAGATGCCGCAGTTATCAAATTCCGAACGCGAGGTGATTGTTCTCTTTAAGAATGAACATCCAATTTGGGGAGTGAAAAAATGCCTAGAAATGTTTCTAGAGTTCTTTAGTTCGATAACTAAAAACCAGTTTACCGATTTTGCAGCTGTACTTTGCTTTTGTTTCAAATAACTGTAACAAAAATTCCAACAATTAAAAAAACTGTCCCAATTTCCCTGTACATATATTAAACGATCATATCATCCATCCACCATGTCCTTCTCTATCTTTCTCTCTCTTTTTTATTTTGGCAATGGGGTTTATATTATTCATAATATTTATCCAAATCCTTGCTCGCCAGAAACATCTGTTCTCTTGTAAGACGTTCAGCTTGTGGTTCCAGCCATTCTAGATATCTTACTTATTGAACAACGAGGTTTCTAATGGTCCACTGCTTACCGATTAGAATTTCCGATTCAAATATCGATTCTTTGTCATTTACCACAACAAAACAAGTTTCGTGTGACTAACTCGGGCGATCCCGAACAACTGATTTATGTTCATTCCACTGCCGAAGGGGTCAGTCGATCTTGCCTGCATCCAGCTGACAACGTTATGTTGTGGTTTAACAATTGTTTCGACGATGTTACTGTCTTGAAACTTGTAAGAAAAATCTCGTAGGGCCCGAGGAAAAAATGCAAGTATGTAAGAATGTCTATAAATAATGTATGATAATGACACCCGTAAGTCCGAAGTCTCCATAACAAATAACTATATTTTTAATCATTTCACCCCAAGCAAGGCAATAAAGCTACTAAGATGCAAGGGGTTACTGAGTCTTAGAGAATATGAGAGAAGGAAAACACACCATCAAGGAGAGAGAAAAATTTAAAGTACAAGAATTAAGAAGACAGTAGATAACGATTGACATTGCGTTTACAGTTTTGAAGGTCAAAGGTGACATGGAAGCAGGAAACCTAAGCCAAGAAACAGAAGAAGACCGGGTCGTACAACAACCGAAACTTCGTGAAAATGGCAACAAAGATAAGGTCAATGTAAATACTGTAAACAAGAAGTGGAAATAAGTCATATCAAATTTCGTCTCTAGCAATAAAATTTGCGGCCACACCATATTGTTCTCATAAGATCACCGAAGTTAAGAATCATCGAACCTGGTCAGCTGCTTAGAAATATCAGGTGTTGCAAGCCTGGATGTGCGGGTGGTGTAATTGATAAAGGCCGAGTTCAAATACGCGCACATACACTTGGAAAATATATGAATCCAACTTCTCTCCCCCCAGCTAAGGATTAATTAGTAGGACTTGTGTCTTAAAAGCATTATTATCTTAAGAAAAAGTCTTATAATTTAAAATTGTATTCTGGTTTTATATACCCTGAAAAGAGGTAGATAAGCCATAAAAAGAACACATCAAACAATCAATCTCTAGCAATGGCGAATTTTCTGGTTAAATATCTTGTTCTATCTATCTATCTATCTATCTATCTATCTATCTATCTATCTATCACAGTCTGTTCAGATCTATCTATCTATCTGTTTCTCTTTTGTGGTGCTCAACCTTGGTAATCTAAATACTTTAGTCTCTTCAAGTCTGTACATTTTCTAACCTTGCGGCAGGATATTCCTCATTGCCCTAAATGGCGATTGGTGATAGTATTTGCAAAAACTCTGCAATTCTTTTTATAATTAGTTCATATTTGGTAAACAGTGACTATTATAGCTATATAGCGAGACTCTTCGCAGATGCGAATTGAGTCACTGTCGGTCACTGGGCGTGTTTCTAAAAATAAATACGCTAAAAAATCCACTTTCATCCCTACCGTGCGCCGACGGCATAATTGTTAGAATCTCCGACTGACACCAATTCAGTCGGATTTTGATCCTAGCTAGAGGCAACCGGATGTCTATCCACACTGATGAGCTGTGAAACAGTGAAACAGTCTGTTTATGGATGACGCTATATATATATATATATATATATATATATATATATATATATATATATATATATATATGTTGTGGCCTTTTTAAGGCCAGAAATAAAAAGTACAAATAGAGGAATTGAGTTAAACAAATTATATTAACATAAACAGTATTACAATCATATACAAACGAGAATGTTATAGCAAGAATGTTCGGTCCGACTGTCAGAGCTGATTGCTGGAAACTTCTATTTCTAAAAGGCTCCTATTTGTATCTGGGTGAGTCCATGCGTGCGTGGGTAAATTACCATAACATATCTATGCATATGGGAAGCTCATGTTATACTGTCCCTGTGTCATATTCTGTTACTTGAAAAGGCAACTAAAGAATCTATCACGCTTTTTACGTATCTCCCTTCCGATCGCCGGAGTTGGGCAATGTTGCCCAGGACAAGACTGCGTTTCTTGTCAAAAATCAGTTTTCTGTATCAGACATACTACCAACTCCTTGAGTAGAAGCCTCAAACAAAAGTGGTATAAAAACATTTACAAGAACCCCTAGAAGAAATTCTGGTCAAAAACACTAAAATTCTATATAAATCATATTAACGGAAACATCTCTCTATAAGGGAAACCCTCACTATCAACATCACCTTATTTAACAGTTGGAATGGAGCGTTCGACGTATAAAGAATAAAAATACGTTCACTCGAATTAAAGCACCTCCCAACATGCGAAGGCTCGGAATAAACTGACCTACTAGTATTGAAAACAACACACAAATAAAATACATCTTAAACAGTCAAAACATGAAGAGAAATTTACAACACATAGAACAACCCCCTTTGAAAATGGCTAAAGAAGTGGCCGAAAGCTCTTGGAACAATGGACATTATGGAAACTTTTGTAATCTATTACTCACATCAAAAGGAAAAACGTAAGAACGCTGGAAAAACTAAATAAAAAAAAAAACTAATTAAATATTTCCTTGTCTTCCATATTTAACGGAAGATGTTTAAATGAAATGTTACTGCCTCTCACTCTCATTCTCTCTCTCTCTCTCTCTCTCTCTCTATATATATATATATATATATATATATATATATATATATAGTGGCTAATCAAAATAATCCCATCAAATCTTAACTAGCGATAACCAATATAGTGTATCAATTCCACTGTCCAGTACAATGATGTGTCTCTTGTCACAAATCAATTACCTATAGCGGGCATACTACCAACTCCTTGAGCAGACGCCTCATGTGTCACTTATCAAGCCAAAGTGTTATAAAAACATCTATCTACCCAAAATTTACAAGAACTCCTAGAAAACATTCTGGTCGAAAACACTAAAATTCTACATAACATCACATTACCAGAAACATCTCTCTATAAGGGAAGCCCTCGCTGTCGACATCACCTTATTTAACAGTTGGAATGGAGTGTTAAACGTGTAAAGAATAAAAATATATATATATTTGCAAATACTTATCAAACTGAATGTTCCTTTCTTTTATATCTTTTTTGCCATAGGCACTTGAGAGAACTGGAATGTTCGAAAAGATTAACCCGTTAAACACATAGAACTGGTTTTATTCATACAACATTCCAGCGTCTAATCATCGGAAAAGAATTATCGCTGTCTTTTGTTCAATTAAGCACAAAAATAACAAAAAAACACATCCTTCGCCCGCCTTAGGTCATTGACATGTGATATAAATCTAAGACAGGTCAAAAAGATTAAAATAATAATAATAATAATAAAAATAACCCAGCGTTTAAATTTTTTTCTTGCTCGATAAAATAAAGTCATTTTAGGATAAGATAATCACTATCGTTGTGGTGTAATGGATGGCGTCTTCGAATGAGAAATCGAAGTACCGAGTTCGAATTCCAATCTGGTTCATTACATATGTACATTCACTTATGGCCAAATTGTTACGGTTTTTTGGGTATATACCGTATGTAACTAGTGAGCGAGTCAAAATGACTTAAATCCCTTTATAGTCCACTAATAGAAGATTAACCAATCAGAATCCGCAGAACATTGTATCCGTTGTGTATAAAGGCGGCCATCTTTTTTTTCCTACCGGAATGACCAGAGCCAACTTGTCAGGCGAACAGGACAGAAGGAAGAACTACGCTCTGCTACTTTGCTGCGATATCCACTGCGAACCTGCACTACGCTTTCCTACTGTCTCCGAAATATTCACTGCCAACCTCTGGATTCTATCGAGGACGACCGTCATGAAAATGTCTAACACAAATACCCTTCGGAAAGGCATGAATCCATTTCTTCTCCCCACTAGCTATAGGCTGAATAACAGAACAGACTGGATTGTATTGCCTTGATTGGCAACCAGTCTACCGTAGAAAGAAGCGGCAACCTATCCTCTGCCTAGTCAGCTATGAATCGAAAGAGACATGATCGGCCAAGCGTTTATCGCATATGGCACTTGACTAACTAAATCACTGTCGAGAGAAAGATTAATTTATTCCTAGAATCAAAACAAATTCTAATATTTCTCGGAAAGTCATTATTCAATATGTGCGAGGCAGACACACCCTCACATGTTGCATGTACCAGACTGCCTTAAATAATGTTGCCGAACTTATATTCTCAAGGATATTTTGGACATTCAAAAGAATATTTCAGTTTATAATCTATTTGACAGTTTAAAATAGTGGTCAACCTATTTAAAGCTTTGTATGGAAAACAATTATATATTAATTAAAAAAAAAGAAAATTATGAACTATTTTACTCAAGTTAAAATATTGGCCCAATCCAATCAACTGCCGATGTCCTAACTACCATTACTCAAAGAATTAGTGAAGCTTTTGATGACAAGCCCACGTCGAGGACCATAGCATTAGATATTTCGAAGGCCTTTGACAAGGTGTGACACAGAGGTTTGCTAATCAAGGAATCACTGGAAGGGTCTTCTCAATTATATAGTTCGTCCTAACAGGTAGGTCCCTGAAGGTAATTATTAACGGCCAGTCTATGCAGGCGTCCCTCAGTGGCCACTACTCGGACTAACCCTCTTTTTGATTTACATAAATGATCTGCCTAAGAATATGCTCAAATCATTTGTGAATATGTATGCCTGTGATATAACGATATACGGGTGCACCTCTAAAAGTCGTGATGAATGGCGACTGGTCTCTCATCCGATCTAGCGCTAACATCTCCAACTGTTTATATTCAATGCATCGAAGACCAAAGTTACATTCCATCATCACTGATCGAACCCCAGACTACCGCCAATCATGATGAACGGATGTCCTCTTGGGTAGGCTCCGTGATTTCAGAAACTATGAGCCTAAGCTCACATCTGACCTCAAGCGAAACTCAGACATATGATCCATCGCTAAAGACGCAGGGAAAATAGTTGGCTCCCTCTACTGCTCTAGTATGTACCTGATTCCTCTACTTTTACAAGAGCTAGACCAGGCCGAAAATGGAGTCAGTCAGTTATATGCCATACGTGATACACGCTTAGGTGATCAGGTATCTTTCGATACATGACTGATGCGGTAGATTTTTTTATGGACTGTAGGTGGCCATTTCTTTCTGCAGTAGACCATTTGCCATTGGCTATAGAACCAGGTCTGTCCTGCTATTTATCTATAGACAGGGGGAGAAGAAGAGGCTTCATAACTTTTCCAATGGTATTAGAACGTAAGTGAATCTAATGGATTCAACTGGATTTCGAACTCGGCTCTCCGACTTCTCAATCCGAGCCGCTATCCATTACTCCATTGAGTACTGTTGTCATATTTGGGCAAAAGCTGTCCAATCCCCATTTTCCTGACTCGATAGATTTCAAAAGTGTCTCCGAGTTCTTGTGGGTGATTAATTATTTTCCACCCACCAACAGGGGTGGGGCAAGCCTCTCACTGCTCTGTCGCTATTTCCGGATGAATTACATTCCGCGCTTCCGCCAGTTCTAAACTTCACAGCTAGGATCCGCCATGACACTTACATTGTAGTAAAGCACCTACATTCTCTCCGTATTCCATCTAAGTTCCATTTGAAGAGCTTCTTCCTGCGAATCACTGCTTAGGGAAACTAACTCACAAGAAGATATTTCCACGATTACTACAATCTCAACCTATTCAAGTCTAGGGTTAACGATCACCCCCGCTATCCGTATAAACTGTCTCTAACTGTAACCTTCTACATCGAGAAGCCCTTACTGTTAAAAAAAAAAGAAATGAGTTTCATATTCATTATTTGTTATTCGTTCTCTGACCTCTCTTATTTTTTCTTTTGTATTTTACATTTCCATTTACCTCTTTTTATATTTATGAATTTGTTTTTTCTTCGTTCTTATTTCTTTTCTTATAAATTTCCTCGTTCAGCTTCTCCTTCTTTTCTGCTTTTTTTCTTTTGTGTCACTTTTTAAAAAAAAATATATATATATTTCAGTATCAGTAGTTGAAGTAATAGTAATACCTCTTCCTATGATCACAGTCGTAGTGACAATGTTGGTTGTATCGAAAACATTTTTTTTACTCTGTCCTCAATGGTAAAATTAATTGGAAAAAACGAAATATGAAGGAAAAAAAGAAAAGGAAATGACCGAAGGAATATCAGTAGAAAAAAAAGAAAGAAAAGCGATAAAAACAGAAAGAAAGAA